CAGTTCAATTATCTAACTAAACTACATGACAGACATGTAGTTGTTGGTTAAAGGAAACTTTAGGAAGAATTTACTTGATGTTCTGGACTTGCTTCCTCTCTTCTCCAGTTCTTTTAATGCAAGCGAACAGTAACAAGCCATAAAATACATCTATATCAGCCAACGGAAATATTTGGAGGAAATGGCAATTATGTCTTTAGGGGTCTTAATGAAGACTGACTTCCAAATATGCATTAAAAAGTTCTCCCTCAATCTAAAATTAATATTAAAACATAATTTTACAGGCCAGAAATTGGAGTAAAATGGCATCAGACAAGGGATCTAGAGGACTGTTGATGGTGTTGCTACAGTAGAACAAAGTTAACTCCAATGAAGTACTCTTATAAAAAGGCAGCACTCTGTTCTTCGTCTCATGTTATCGTCCTATCACTCAGACCTAGTGTGTGCATCTGTCCAGCCATCAACGTCCACATCTAAGTACCAAACAGATGGCGTTATCAGGGTAAACTCTGCACCTTCCATCCTTCTTCGTCTCGAACGTGCTTTTCATTTCCTCTTTCTCTCCCTTTTGCGTCTCCTCCAAATGCAATTCATTCCCTGAGAATGTAGATTCTGCTGGAGATATTGTTACTGAAAATAAACTTGTGCACTCGAAGATTAATTCAATATGTAGAAATGTTGTGTGATTTATATAGACTTTAAAATGTTTAGTTGAGGATACTCAGTTCTGACAGTTATAGTTTCCACCGTACAAATCGGATGTGCTGACTGATTTTGTTCCAGAGTATCATTTGGGATCCTTTACTGTCTGGAATTAGATTTTGTATTTTTCCTCGATTTTTCTTCTTCCTTTTTGTATCTTTCCTTCAGTCTCTATGTCCTTCCTCTCTTCTTTCCATACAAGTATCATCCTTCTTAAAGACATAAACATTGTAATCCCCCCTTCTTGAGTCCTTCCTTATGCCTTTCCTCCCTTCCATCCTGGTCTCTTCATTATTATTTCTTTATGTTTTTCAATGTTCACCTTTGTATCATCTTTCCTTCTTGTCTTCGCTCCTTCATCTATTTACGCTTTCCAAAGACATACAGTATTGTCTATTGTATGTCCTCCCTGCTCACCTTGTCTTTTCTCCTTACCGAAATATTTTGTCAATTATTTCCTTCCTTCCTTCCTTCCTTCCTTCCTTCCTTCCTTCCTTCCTTCCTTCCTTCCTTCCTTCCTTCCTTCCTTCCTTCCTTCCTTCCTTCCTTCCTTCCTTCCTTCCTTCCATTAAAATTTCAAAGGTAGCAGAATATGAATATTTTACATTAAAATGAAGTACAGGCTTTGGGGAACCATTAGGAGACAAAAAATACAGTTATCACCAGATATCTACTGTGCCTCCTGGATGTTCTTAATAGCTTTGGACTTCTTGCTTTTACACTTTGGATGGGTACCCTGAGGTGAGTTTTGTGTCATTTGGAACAAAATGTGATCTCCAATGCAAGACTGCAGCATTTTGTTTTCTGTGTGCGTGTGTGTTTACTTCCACCTGTTACGTACTTATTAGTGCTTTTGAAAAAAAATAAGAAGGAGCATGCACAAAGAAACAGTAAGGATCCTTGTTTTAATTTTTGTGCAAACAGCCTCATTGCAGCAGTATTTTATAGCCTGAGATGCACGCTTGCGTACGCAAATGCTGTCGCTCATCCACAGGGGCAGAAAAGCTGCTTTTCAATTTAAGCCTGATTAGTCAATAAAACAACACGTCCATTTCGCTTCCCTGGGACAATGTGAGTGATGATGTGCCTCTGGGAAAATTTACTTCACAGATTTAAGCCTTCTGTAGTTTTTTTTTTTTTCTCTCCTTATCAGCCACAATTTTGTAATTAAAAACTGTGGAAAATATGGGAATATCTCAAAGCAACTGAAGAAATGCCCTATTTTCCATGAAGCAAAAAGGATCCAAGATGTGTCAGCGCTGTTTTTGACTTGTATATAAATGAAACTGTGTCTAATCAGTGCCAAACCCTGTCCTCTGTGAATGCTACAGAAGCTCCATTGACCTCTTTAATTGGAATTATTAAGCACGTGTTTAGATCAGCAACACCCTACAAATAAAACTCTATTGCACATTGTAGTACAGTTTCTAATATAGTATTAGCATGACTCAATATGGGACCAGGTATTTTGACATGTTTAACTAAAAAAACATAACATGGGTGTCTGTTTACAGGAATAAGTGGGAGAAGATGAATGGATGGATGGATGGATGGATGGATGGATGGATGGATGGATGGATGGATGGATGGATGGATGGATGGATGGATGTGTATAGACTTCTTGTTCCATTGGGCTCCTGCTCCTAGCATCTATTTCTTTACCTTTCACAGGGTCAACATTGATCCAGGGTAGGAAAGGATCTCTAGACTGCTGTGCATTACCCGACAGACACACACATTAACAATGCTGGTCTAATAGCGACAACAGGCTTTTGGAAAACAACTGAAAAAAGACTAAAGTTACATAAATTTAGTGAAGAGCTGAAGCTCTCTGCTATAAAATTATTGAAATATGAAGGTCCATACATTTCCATGTGTATGATAGAGCATGTGCCATGAAATAACATATTTTTGTTCAAGTCTGTGATTTGGGCTACATGTTTATGTTCTACTCTGTTATGCAATGGATTGAGGGTAACCATATAGTTCCTTATGCAATAGGAAGCATGCTGCTTCCTTTAACTGGCTCTTTTTGGACAGCACTTATCATGGCCACTGCTGCAGGGTCGGTATCTTCATGGTTTGACTTCATGTTGATTTTTAAATAACTGCATTTTCTTCCCATTTTTGATTTATTGCAGCTGTTAATAGATTACCTTTTACTTTTATAATTATTCCTATTGATTAAGTTGGATAACAGTTTTTGACACCCCTAGTATTAATTTATTGTCTATGCTTCTTAGAAATGTTAAGTCTCCCTTAAGGCTCGTCATTTTCACCATGATTAACATATTTTCATTTTCTATGACATATTTCTGAATATTTTCCTTTCTTGTCTCTCTACTCTGGCATGTTTATCTATCATGTCTTCTCACCATATAAGTTTCAATACTGTTTTTAAACACTGCTTTTCTTATTTTTAATCTATGTTGCCCCTTGTTTGTGTACGAGTCATTTCACATGTCCACTGACCAAAACGAGAGCTACAAGACTGCATGCCATTCAAGTACAGCGTTACTGTCTGGAATACAGAGAACTATTTATATAAACTCCACCCAAGCTGCAGCTGGACCAATTATTGAAATGTTATTTCTAGGAATGTACATTAAACCTTACTACACCTCTTTTACTGCGTTCCATTGGCGGAGCTAGATGGGGGGCCAGGTGTGGCCATGGCCACCCTTAGCCAATCACTGGCCACCCCTACCATTTCTCCCCTCTAATGCTTATGGTGGCAACAGTAACATTCTCAAGTGGAATATTCAAAACATTAAATTTTTTTGTGGTTAATAATACACATAAACATACTAACATCAAATATGATAAGTACAGAATTCATGTTCTTTTCTAGACTTTGCGTTATATGGGGTAAAGAGAAAAATATGTCTCTCTGCAAGTCATTTAGTCTTCAGTGAAATCAAAGATAGATAACACTTTTGATAAAAACTTATTAAATAATGAATTTATGTAGATATTAGTGTTTTTAAAAATACATTTTATGCAGAGTGTTTATTGATAGAAGTAGGTAAGTAATGACAATGGATTTACGCTCCAGATCTCAAAACTGAAAGACTTTTATCCACTATAACTTTTATTTAGAAAGCACGGATGTTTAAATATATATGTGTCTATTTTTTAGTAAAGGCTTTAGGAAAATATAGTGTGTCTTTATTTAGAAAATATGGATGTTTTGCTTGTTAATTTTCCCATTGGAAAAGTGTAGATTGACCCTAAGGTTCTGGTGCCTATCCTCTTTCGGCCACCCCTCAGTGTACATTGTTTATTGCCTGGCCACTCTTATAAAAATGTTCTGGCTACGCCTCTGCTGTGTTCCCAATAAATGTGTTGGTCTTATGTGGTTTTATTGGTATTTTTCTCACACATTCAATAAGGACATGCATGAGTTTACATTTAAACGGTGGAGAATTGTCCTCCCGAAAAGTTAGGCATCAATGTACCTAACTGTTTGTTGCTTCAATAGATCACCCGGCTATAGTAGCACTTTTAGATACAGAGTGGCCATTCATTCATTGTTCCCTGCACTGCAACCTTTAAAATCTGACTGAAGGCTGCATCTTCTTTAGCAGGTGGATTTCAGCAGCTTCTAGCAGGTGAGATGCTGGTTTTCATACTATGTTCTCACACTGATGCCTAATTGTGCATGACAGTCCACCTTTCTACAGAAAAGCCACCACCAGCAGCAGCAGCATCATCAGGGTACCAATGACATCATCTCCATCCTCTTCATCTCATTTTATATCTCGCGCTGCTGCAAGAATAAACAGTGTGCAGACTGCACACACAAGGGGAAGGGGATGAAGCAGCTCCAGACCTGACCAGGGGATCCTCTCCATGTCCACCTCTGATCGCAGCCTCTCTATCCCGTTAGAGCGGATTACAGTCTAATGGTGAATGGACGCCTCTGCCAGAGCTTTAGTCCACTGAACTATCACACTAGGGTCAAAGCTGGCTCATTGGAAAGCTACACAGTGTACCCGGTGTTCATCAGCAAGGCTTAAAACGCACAAGAAGCCCCCAAAAAGACGCAATAAAGAGATAAAATCAACTTAACAGCGCCTATTTAGACATTTCCTTTAAAATAAACTGCAAATCCTGAATTTAAAGCGAATCGATGTCATGTATTGGAGAAGTATACATTGGGATTAATTTACATTGAAGGAAGGAAGAGGGGTATTCCCTGTTTATTCCTGCAGAATGATGCACTCATCCTCCCTCCCCCACCCCAAAAAATGACTAGTAATTACAAATCCCACATCAGCTGAGATGGATGCACATACCTTCATTTCTCCTCCTGTTAGAGGGATCTGCAGAGTAATGTCAAAGCGACGACCATTGCCAGCGTTAGGGAATCAAACCATTACGTCTTCCCTCTCTCCATCTGCCAGAGTGAGTGGAGTAAGCATAACGTAACTTGTACAGGAGCTGCAGCCAATCAGAGGCAGGGATCAGCCGCCGGTATCTTTAGTAGCCAATCAGCTTGTGCGCTTCTCAGCAGTGGGCGTTCAGGTCTGCGCGTAAAGACGCACCGTTTAAAGCGTTGCTTCTCTTTCTCTTTTTTGATTTTTAGGGTGAATAAATATTCCGTGCGCAAAGCAAATCGCAGAGAAATGTGCTAATATTTATTTATTTTCTGAATAAATAAATTAATATAAATGTGCTTCCTAATCCACTTGACAAGCGGTGCCTGGCATGACTGTAAAAAGGTGCATCTCAGCCGTAATTTCTATTTAAAGCTATATTTAGGAGGCGGACATATTGTCAAAACTCTGTATCTGACTTCTTTCACACAAGCGGTTTGCTTTTCTGCTTGCAGTCATGAGATTAGAGCTTTTCAGCGTAACCCCGCATATATCCGCAAGGGGGCAGCAGATCACTCTGCATCAGTTTCAGCATTGCTCGATTAAAGTGCTCATAGGGACCATAGGGACATGTCCTTACCAACATTTTGGACAGACCTACTTGTCCCAACAACTACATGTGAATAACATGTTTATAATTTACAATACAGCATTGTTGCAGCAGTAGAGGAGTTATGGATGGAGAATATTGACAGATGAAATCATGTTTTATCTAAAATGCAAAAATTAATTTTTTTTTTTTCAATTTTGGTATAATTCCTACTCTAAGTGGGTCACTCTGTGAGCTAAAGACATGTTCTAGAGTCTCTATACTCCAGTTAACGATTAATTGATTACTAAATTTGTTGACATTATTTCAATAATTGAGTAATCCGATGAATTGTTTCAGCCCTAAATAAAATACATGAAATGGGTTAAACAGAGTAACTACATCCTAGATGTACAACTTGTAGAGTGAGGTTAATATATTAAATGCTCAGTGTCAGTTCCTCTTCTAGTTCCAGGGCACATGTAAATACAATACATTTATTTGGCGCCCCTTGAATCTATTATTTCGCTTTGTTTCATGATACAAAGAGAACATTTAAAAGAGTGGGTTTTACCTCTATTTACCTCTGAACAATTCTATATCTTCAAAATAAAAAAAAAGTATAAATCCACATATAACAGACATATTTAGACTATATTCTGTTAAATAGGCACAGATTCACTTTCTGTCTTAGTCGCTGGTAATTTCAAATGCACACCTTTTCAAAGTGGAAAAAAAGTCATAATTCATCATTCATTAGAACCAGTTAAGCTTCAGTCATTATAAACAGCATCTAGTGTGTGTAGTGATTTCTCTTTAAACAAAATACACCCTGATTTTCCCGTCAAGCATAAAAAAACAAGCATGCATATTTTTGCATAGGACCAATGACATCAGACCAATAGTGTTGCTACCAAAGTTGAAATCAAACCTACGCCCTTGATGTGTTCGCTGCGTACTGAACATAAATCACACAGAGATATAAAGTTTATTTAATACTTTTGTTTTTCTTTGCTCTCTCGTTTTCTGGTGACTGGGGTGTTGAGCATACAAGATGTGGACTTAAGAAGACATCTTTGCTGCATCTAACAGTGACCCCCATGTAACGTTTATTGCACAACACCACATTAAGACATCTGTAAAAGCCTTGAGGCAACCTCTGGCGGTTTTCACCATGTTGGATAGATCTGTGCAGCAATCATTGCATAGGTCTTATGTGTACAAACGCAGCCATGTCAAGTTAACTTTATCTCAGAATGATAAAGCTCACTTCTTATCCTTTTACTGGTAGGTGTCAGCAGAATTCTATCAAAAATATTTTCTCTGACTCTGGAATAGAAACAGGCTTTAAGCATTATCATGATAAAAAATAGTGAAAATGTGGTGATGTTCACATTCACCATTTGCTCTTTGTTAGATCTCCTTGAAATACTTGATGCCAGAAAGCTCAATGTTGTAACATTTCAGCCAAATTAAACAGTGTATAAATCTGAATATGGTCTACCATCCAAACAGCCAGTTTTTTATTTACACTTCAGAGATCATGTACTTGATATAGTTTTTTTCGGCCATTGTATTGCCCTGATAGAGGACAGAACCATGACCCATCTCCAATCCCTTCACTGAGGAGACGGGGTTTCAGGGTTAAATCTCCTGATATATTGCTGAATTCTTCCTCTGAATAATCCAGATGGTCACTGGCAAACCTCAGATGGGCCTGGACATGTTCTGGCTTATCCAGCACATATCTGGGTGCACTGCAGGATTTTAGTCCATGGAAATCTATTGTTCCAAAAAAGTAAAAACAAAAAAAAACAATCCTGTTTTGCTTCCTGGATGAGAAGTGAAACATCTTTAAACATGGAAAACAAAGTCCAGTAGATTGTTTTATAACTTTTTTGGAATACTTTGACCTGGATGACTGAGAATCTTCACCAGCAGGTAGTGTCTTGTGTTACTAATATTGCCTGCGAAAGCTCAATATTAAGTACCTATGACAAAAATTCATGATTTTACACGCCTTGCAAATGGTAAGACCTGCAAAATTGCTTATTAAAATACTTGTTCTCCCATCTGCACATATCATCAAATAGTTTCAAAGACTTTTGACCTTATTTTTATATAAATATTTAATTACTGATCCACTAGCTTTTGTTTCTTTACATGTAAAGAGATGATTTTCCCAAACTGAATAAAAATTCTCCAATTCAATTTTGAAATTTTCTTACATTTCATTGAGATGATGATACTGCACAACAGATTCATTTACCGGTATCTCAGATTCATCTTTAGAAATTAGGCTTGACTTGAAAGTGGAAACTTTTCTCTGTATGACAACCTCCAAAGGGATTTTTAGTGTGGAGTGTATACAGTATCTCCCAAATGACTCATCCCTCTTCACGTTGTTGAATTTGTGAAGCTGTGAATATCATAATCTAAGGAATTTTGATGATCCACAAGTTGCAAAATCCAAGTATGAGCAAACATCTGCAGGAGACCAACTGGGCATGTGAGAAGAGACACTGAAAAAAAGAGTTGGGAGACCTGTTGTTAATATTTATATGCATGACCTTTACTTATATGTTATTAATAAATTATGGAGAGAGAACAGCATCATCCAAAAGCCACGTGACACAACCTGAGGAAATATCAAGGGATATTTACCATTTTCCTGATACAGGCTTCACAAGGAATCTGATCCGAGGCTCTGACTAAGAATTACCAGCTGAAGAAAGAGCAGTGTGTTCAACATTCTTTATCGTCTGCTAGCTGTAAATCCAGTAACAGTACTTTACTAGAAATCTGGAAGTAGATATCATTCTGTATAATCAGGAAACATTTCTCAGAAAGTGAAACAATGATTTTGTTCTGCTTTAAAATACAACAAGATGTACAAACATCGGATTACAGCCACCAGAAATAAACTTTACAGTGAGTCCTTACAAATACCTTTCAAATTATTTGAAAATGAACAGTTAAACAAATCACAACAAAGTGAAAGTTCCTTTATATTGAAAAAAGAAAAAAAAAAAACAGCGGTTGAAGCCAACAGAGGTTGTTTTTGATCATTTATTTCACTGCCTTCCAGATCGCATCAGGAACAAATTATTGGAAGCAGAGCAAATGGAGTAGATTGGAGACAGAAACAAATGTTCACACAGAAATCAATAAAAAGCTAGAAATGAGTTGAGGTTGGCGATTATCCCGCACACACTTGCTTACTGAAAGTTCTAAACATTTCATGCAAAGATGAATAAATGTCAGTGAACTAAAAGCTATGGGAAATCTTTGCACCTCCTTCAAAAAATAGCCTTTATAGACACTGTTCCGGGAATATTTTAAATGTGCACTAAAGTTTTATTTTAACCATCTGAACTTTCTCTCTCTGCAGCTCTTACAGCTGAGTTACCTGAGCCTTTTTTGATTAACAGTCTCCTGTTTTGCTTGACAGCTCAGCTGTCAAGGCAAATTTTTACCTTTGCTATATTTTCAGTTAATGGATTGGACAAACTTATTTTTTTTGGGGGGGGGGGGGGGGGGGGGGGGGGTGTACTTAGAGATTATAAAATTGTTTTTACAACTTTATCTCCTATCTTGATGTGTACCTCAGTCCCCATGATTGCCATTTATTCACCAAGGTTCTCTAAAAAAGCTCTGAAGTCATTGCAAACAGCTAAACTTAAAATGAACTCAAACTGCTCTCACATGGACTATGTTAGATAATTTGTCAAATAGTTTTGTCAAGGGGTATTACAGTAAAAGTTGCAGAGTGCAAGTGAAGGCTACATTTTTAAGAGATCAACAAATAATCTTGAAAAAATTGTATTATCTTTCTTTATAGTTTTACACAGTTCTTGTTGCACAGCTATATTTTGGCATGTTTAAAATCCACAGTTCATGATGTAGAAAAATGACTAAACACCAAAAATAAGAAAATAGACCTAAATAATAATAAAGATGAAATGACATACCATACAATCCTCATTGTTTCAGGTATCACCATGAGAGAATGTGAGAAAATTGAAGTATAACAATAGATTTTTATGATGAGTTTGTTGCAAAACATGCTTCTGCTGGGACACTGTTTACATAAAAGGTTTGGCACAGAGATGCAACCATCCATCCAGCCCGAAAGACCACAAACCAAACAGTATATTTTTTGTTTTTGAGATGCCATAAAAGAGTTAAAAAAATCCCCTTCTCAAAGCTTGTGGTAAAATGCTCTTCTACCGGTTTTCTTTCAGTTTTTGCAGCAGTTTCTAATGAAAATAGTTGTTACAGGCTTTCATTTTCTTCCCACGTTGTATCCTGTTCTGGGAACTTGTCATCACAGCTAACAACCCTTGCACAATGGTTCATCCAAACCTCCAATCTGCTATCAGTTAAATCCTTTTAGGTTAAACTCATCATCATGAGTAACCTAATCTTTTACTGCAAAACCTATTTCAGCAAATATGAAGTTTTTAATTCTTTTGCAAACAACAACTGGATTTTTTCCCCCCTATTCACACAAGTTTAG